TTTTTAATCTTAACAAATTTCTAAGTTATGAAGAGAATTTTTGCCCTTATAGCACTCTTTAGAATGTGATTGAGAAGCCAGCTCTTTCATCTATATCTCTCTTGTGGGTTATCAAATAGACTCTCTTGTAGTCATTTTAAATTTATTTTATATGTTTCATGAGTTCAGGTAGAAAGAACAACCAAAGCAAAATTTTCAAGGTAGCACAATAGCTAGCATTTTGGAAGAATCTGGAAGATTTGAGTGTGACTAGAGCAGAGCTGAAGAGGACAAGAGTGGTGGAAGTTGTCAGAAACATATTGAGAAGCCAAAATGCACAAGACTTTGTAGACAGCTTGAAAGACTACTTTCATTCTAGATGAAATGAAAAGCCACCAAGGAACTCAAGCAAAAGAGGGCCATGATATGACATATATTTAAAAGGGATTTCTCTGGTTTCTCTTTTTTTTTTTTTTTTAAGATTTATTTTATTTATTTATTATTTATTTATACAAGCACTGGGTACAGTCAGAAGCACGGGAGGGTGAGAGAATTCACCAGAGCCAGAGCGGGGAGCAGAACAGGCAGAAGGACCGAAGTACACTGCTGAGGGGAGCAGCGGGCGGCAGGAGAGGTCTGCGCGCCATGTGGGACCCTCCTCCGGTGGCCGGGGAGGAGCCGGGGATCGAACTGGTGCTGCAGAGGCTGCGGGCAGCTTCACAACCCAGCGCTCAACCGCTGCACCACCGGGGAGGCCCTTCTCTGGTTTCTCTTAAGGTTAATCTATACAGAGTTCGAGTGGAAGCAGGAAGACCAGATAGAAAGCAAATGGCACAGTTCTATGAAAAGATGATGGCAGCTTGGTCCACGGTGGTAATGGTAGATATGAGTTGTCAGATTATGAATTTATTTTGAAGAGATAGTAAGCAAGGCCTCCTGAAGGGTCAAAAATGTGTGATTTAAAGGAAATAAGTAATTATTACTGCCAGTTTTCTAGTCTGAGTAAATGGAAGGATGTAATTGATATTATCTGTATTATTTTAAAGACATGTTTTTATTTTCTTTTTTCCTGAAATCTCTATTCATAGTCTGTTTATTTTTCCATTGCGATTCTGATCTTTTTCTTTAAAGCTTTCTACATGATCGCTCTGTGGAAAAACATTCTTTTATAGGGAGGACAAATTCAAAATATATTGTACCGTTTCATAATTTTCTTTGTTCATGTTGTTTTTGGAGTGTTTGGACTTTCTTTTTTTACTCATTTTAAGGTATGCAGATGCTCTTTTTTCAAATTACTAAAATGTATCAATTTTAATGACCCCTGAATTCTTAGTCAAGACTAGAAATTTTATTCTTGCTCCAATGGTAAGGATTTATTTATTTATAGTCTTGTTTTATGGTTTTGCTTTATTCATTTGCATCTTTTACCCATTATAAATTTATTTGGGTCACAGATGGAATGTATGAATAGGACTGTATATAGATGACTATCCAATTGGCTTAAGATCAGCTATTGGGGTACCTATCTTTTCTTCACTGATTATAATGCTGCATGTAACTGCTTCCTAGTGTCAGACAGTGTGTTATAGAAGAGAGAGCAAAGGGTTCAGAATCCAGTGAATCTTACCCTTTCATCTTCTGCCTATGTGTTTTGGGGAGAGACATCTTAAGCTCTTTAATACTCAATTTGTAAAATGCAAGTAATGTATCATCAAAGAGTTGCTCTGAAAAACAAATGAGATCTCATCTGTGAAACAATGTTCACCAAATGCAGTCCCTTCCCTTTGAACACATGGTCTTCAGGAACTATTAATTGTGTGATGGCATTTTGGTTCTGTTTCTCTGCAAGTACTAATTGCAGACCCTTGTCAGTGTTGAAGTAAACTCAACACCTACCCCATCTTGTGGAAATAGTTTTCCTTTCTCTTCAGAGTTTGCAATTCAGACTTTTCCCCTAATGCCTTACTTTGCATCTTTTACACCTGTATCTTTTCTATTCCTTCCTTTTATTGAGGACCGTATTAACAATAAGTCTCCCTTTTTAAAAAAAGAACAATTTCTGTGATTCATTTAACCTGTAAACTGCCACTTGAGGTTTAAGAAATCTCAAGACAAAGAAGCCGCTTTCTACTCATTTGTTAAGGAATAGAAGAATGGTTTATATAAAAATATAAAAACGATGTTTTGACTGTCAATGACCAGATACTTCAATTTCCTGGGGCATTTCTTTTTCATTTCATTAAGGATCAAGACAGAAATAAAGAAAAACCATGCTCATAAAATCCTATTTCAGGGGGCTGGCTTTGGAGAGATAACATCTCAACCAACTTGCATGGTACTTTCTCACCCAGCTTCTCAGCCAGCTCTGATCCACAGTTCAACAAAAATGATAATTCATCATAGAAGACATTGCTACCTATTGTTGGTGATTGCTGTTGGAGAATTGGAAAGAACAGTCCCACTACCATCCTCCAAATACTGAACATAAAATTGAATTGATTTAAAAGGAACTTGACTACATGAAAGCCTGAGAATATAACATGGATCTTACTCCTCTCAGCAAATTGCTGATTGCTCAGAAAAACTTGCAGGGGGTGGGAGGTGATATTTCCAGGCTACAGTAATTAGGGTAGAATGGTTTGGAAAAACTACTGGAAAGCTATGATGAAAGGCCAGGAGCATTGTGGCTTTATTAGGAAAATGCCAAACAGTGCTAACAGTGTCTGGAAAATAAGATTACCATTTATATTCTGGACTCCAGAGGAAAAAATAGCCAATTAAAACATTCAGTACTGGAAGTAGCATGCTGGGCACTTAGTTAAAAGATAGGCTCAGAGATTATTCTATCATTCAGCACATTGCCCTTCAACCAGCTCAGTGTCTTAATGTTCATAGTGTGGGCGGTGGGGAGAGGGGAGGGAACACAACACACTTTTTCTTCTGGAAAAGGGACCCGCCCATAGTTTGAATGGGCCCATAATTTACATTTTTACGTATATTTTATTTTGATTATATTTTATATCATATCAATCAGCAGGGAAGAAATTCAGAAAACTAATACAAGGACATGTATAGAATAGAAAAGAGGGCAGGAGGGAGGGAAGGAAAGAAAGGAAAAAATATTTCAAGTAGATGCCATTCAGGACCTAGGTGTAGTTTCATCACTTCCCTTGTCCTGAGGCTCAGTGACTTTTTCTTTGGGTGTCTGCTATATAATCATTTTCACAAAAATGTCAAAATTCTCCTTGTCATTATTTGACCTTTAAGGATGCTTCATGAAGAACTGAACACAGATTCTTTCTGCATATTTCTTTCTGCATTTCTGTGCCCTACATTAGGCAAGTTGAATTACATGTGAAGAGATAATAAAGGAAATTAAGAGAGCCAGCTTCTGTTCCTGGCAAGTGAATGACCTCCCTGTTTTTCTGCTTCTTAATAAGAAAATTCCAGTGATAACATTAGGTCTGAAGACTTATCAGAGTAATTCTGCTACCCCCCTCCATCCCCTGGACATTGCCCATGGGTCCCCATGGTGCCCAAGTTCCATGGAAGAGCTTCTGTTCTGTTCCTTGCCTCACACGCTCCAAGTTACCCAATTCTGTTCCTACCTTCTGAGGATCCCCACAACATAAATGTAAATAATATCTTAGTTTTAGCATTAGATGGCTTTTTACTTCATTCAGCTAAATGTGATTCTTGCTACCTTTTATTAACTGGTTTGCTCTGTTGACATATGACTATTAAAAATATTTGAACATAACTACATAACCCCTCTAAGATTGCTCTTCTTCAGGCTAACAGTTGCAGGATTTCTCTTATTCATGTATAAGGCATCATTATGTCCATTCGTCTCCAGGGTACAGTGTTAGTCCTTTGTTCTAACTAAAGGGAAAAGACTATTCCTTTCTCCTGACTCAGCCACAGATTACATATGAAATATAGGAAGAACTTTTCAGATGTCTAGTCTACCATATAAGTGGAAATGAAGAATACTTGAACTTTAATAAGCAACTCTGTCCTGCAGTCTACTACACACCTAGAAACTCTGGGACTGAGCCTTAGGAATCTGCACGTACCATGAACATTCCTCTTCTGATATAAAATTTAACACTATGGCAATAATAAAGGTCTTATTTTAAGAAATATTTTTGGTTATGATGGTTTATTTTATCTACCTTTATTAAGTAATTTCTGTTAACTACAGCACAACCACAAGAGCTGGGGTACAGGCCAGAGATGCGGGGGGTGAGAGGATTCACCAGCAACAGAGTGGGGAACAGAACAGGCAGACTGACTGAAATACACTGCTGAGGGGAGCAGCGGGTGAGACAGGAGAGGTCTGCTGCACCATGTGGGTTGCTCACTGGCCAGCCAGGAATCAAACTCATGCTGCAGAGGCTGCGGATTGCTTCATAGTGCGGTGCTTCACCCCTTGCGCCACCAGGGAGGCCCAGCACAACTACTTTTAAAAAGTCAAACTTTTCAGTTATAACTTACAAATAATAAGTATATATGTATATGTGTTTAAACAAGCATACATATGTAAGCACTACTATAACCAGCTTAAAGCGTTTCCATCACAATAGCAAGATCCTAGGATGTCTAGTTAAATCTGAATTTCAAAAAATAGTTATAACTCATTCAAAATTTGAGACATGGCAAAAACAATATCCATTTTCCTCTGAAATTCAAATGTAATTGGGTATCATTTGTAAATCAGACAACCTTCCTTGTGTCTTTCCTAATCAATCTCTTGCCCATTCCACAAATCTAGGTAAACTCTAATATGCTTCTGCCAGGGCATATTAAATTTGTCTCCTTGAAGAGTCATATTCATAGAAACTTAAAGCATGTTGTGCTTTGTGTTTGCCTTCTTTCACTCAATGTGATGTTTTGGAAATTCACCCATGTTATTGGTATATTAGCAGTTCATATCTATTTGTATCTGAATTGTATTTCACTATAGGAATGCACCATAATCGAGCTATTCAACTATTGATGAATACTTGAATTGTTTCCAGGTTTTGACTACAATGAATAAAGCTGCAATGAATATTCACATACCAATTTTTTGAGTGGACATATGATTTCATTTTTTCTTGGGAGTTTTATGGTAAGTAAATTTCAAAACTGTTTTCTGAAGTAGTTACCTTATTTTCCATTCCTACCAGCAATGTATGAGTCCCAACTGATGCACATCATTGCCATTATTGTGTTACTATTATTGATTTTAAGAGTTTTTCATATGGAAAATCATTTTGATTTTCATAGAAAATTTCATGAATGATTTTCATGGAAAAGCATTTCCTTTTATTAATGCTGTCTTTTTAAGAGCATTTTTATATATGTGTGTGCATATATATACACGTATACACCTACATACATGCGTGCATATTCATTATACAAATATAGAATATCCTTTGCATATACATTATTATATATATGATTATATACATAATTTTAAACCCTTTTGAGATAAGGACATATGTCATGTTCACCTTTATACTTCCAGAATCAACTCCCACTAGACATTGATTGAGAACATAGATCTACTGAATTATAACAAATAGGGAAAGAAGACAATGCCACTTCTGTTAATTAGATTCAGTGAGTTGGAAATAATTTTTCTCATTGTTAGGAGAGGTCATAGTAGTAAATACTAGTTATTTTGTGGGACTTCAATAAATAATAATGAAGTTAATTATATTTAAAGGACTTAGAATATAAACAATCAATGCTTGTATTATTATCATGATCATCACTAACACTTATTAATAGACTACATACTTTACTTTTAAAAATATTTCAAGATATTTTGTCAAGTTCTACTTCACCTCCAGCACTACCTGCAATAAAATCTTCCTATCAAGTATGATACAGAAAAACATAAAAATGAAAATAAATAAAAAGGAAAGAAAAGGAAACTAGATGGTTATTTATAGAAAATAAGAACACATCTTGGAGCAGGTGATTTTACCACCCAGCCTGATCCCATATACTTTGGTCTGTCACAAATTATTTCCTAATTCCAAGTCTCTGTAGCACAGGATCAACAATATTGAGCTCTCCTTAGGTCATAAATTGGTCCATAGAAATGTGTCTCCAGGCAAATTAATATCTAACTTGTGTGGATTAAATTTGATCTGGCATCCTGGGCATCTCTGTTTTCCAAATTAGATCTTCTCTCTTATTTTAGGCTGCTTAAAAGATTAAAAATCAAATTAAAACTTGTTTAATTAATTTAGGTTGGTTTTAGTAGTCATGTGTATATCAAAGTGAACAAGGACAATCATATTAGTACTATTTATAATTCTAGGCCATTGCCTGACAGAATGAAGACAAGATATAATTTAATCTAGCTCAATTTGAGAAACACAAGCCCCAATCTTGACTTTTGTTCAAATCCCTGGCAAAGTTATTTAAAAATGAGGCTCTGTTTGTAAGAATGTTGAACATTTTGAATCACTAAGCAGTATAATTGGTACTTACTTTTGCCCCCCTAATCCTTGTACTAAAATGACATTCTAGAAATAATAATCAGAACACAGTAGGATTATCAGGCTGTCGCTCATGATAACTGTCACAGATGTTTAAGACTAAAAGTTAAGAGCATGAATTTTCACAGAATCATAAATGTGTTTGTGTGGTATGACAAAGAATACTGGATTGAGGATTAAAAACCTGAATCTAAAAGAGTTTGTGATACTCCAGGCATGTTATTTCATCTCCAAGTTTTGTTTTTCATTTTGGTTAACAGGACTAAAGCATGCCTATTTAATTGGACTAAATTAGGTAACCCATGAAAGTACCTAGCACAGTGCCTGGTAAATAGTGTTATTTCAATATTAATATCAAATGTGGATCTCAAGTTTCCACTGGCAATACCATACCACCTAAAAGATTCGTTATTATTTTGTCTCTGAGAATGAGTATGGAGTTAGCAATTTAGAACTAAGGAATTATAGCAGTGGGAGTGGGGGGTATGCTCTGATCTCATATAGTAAAAATAATCTGTGACCTCTAAGCAACACATTTCCTTTAATATATAGCACCTAACCATTCTCCGAGTGTATAATGCAATGATAGTGCTTGTTTTGTAAGAGGAATAAATGTCAAGACTACTTTGATCATTAGAGTAAGATTTATAATACAGGCATTTTCCATAAAATGATGTCTATCATTAAAAAGCACTTTATCAAATCCTTCTCCATTCCCAGAAATACCTGCAATATGACTCAGATTATATTTACAACTCCAGGTGAAAAGTTTCCTTGCAAACATTATAATTAGCTAATAAATTCTTTAACAATATAGCTGGTAGGACATCATAGACAAAGGAGACATGCCATGGTACTAGATGTGATACAATGTGAGGATCTGGAAAATCAGGTGAAAAACTGAAGGACTGCTCATAAGTGAAGGGTGACCAAAGGTGGAGTCAGAATTGACCCTCTCCTTACATAGGCATTCCAGCATAAATGCATGCAGAATGGACAGGTGGAGCAGATGGGAAGAGGAAAGGAAGGGGAATATGGTCCTGAGTCATACCTGTAAGAAATTGAAGGTAGGGCCTCCCCGGTGGCGCAGCGGTTGAGCGCTGGGTTGCGAAGCTGCCCGCAGCCTCTGCAGTGCCAGTTCGATCCCCAGATGCTCCCCGGCCACTGGAGGAGGGTCCCACATGGCACGCAGACCTCTCCTGCCGCCCGCTGCTCCCCTCGGTCCTTCTGCCTGCTCTGCTCCCCGCTCTGGCTCTGGTGAATTCTCTTACCCTCCCGCGCTTCTGTCTGTACCCAGTGCTTGCATAAATAAATAAATAAATCTTTTTTAAAAAAAGAAAAAAGAAAGAAATTGAAGGTTTTTCCATATCGGGGATCTGTCCTTGTCTAGATTTATCTTAAGATAAAATTTAAGCCACTTCTGTTGGAGAGTTACTTTAATAATGATGCCACCAATAGAAACTGTTCTATCTACTTTGAATTTGCATTTGAAATACTATTTCCAAACAATCAGCTTTCCGAGTCAGAATGTCTCAGGTCCGAAGTTTGCTTCTTCACATTTAGATATTTAAGGAAGCTGTTCCCAATTATATCTTATTTTATTTTATATATTTTTACATCATTTTTGCACAATGCATGCATTTTCATCTTGGTTATAGTACCCATACAATCCCCTCCTCCCAATTACATCTTTAAGTCAGAGTTCAAGGTAAAGTACTCCGCGCACTAGCAACCATTAGAAGTTTGACTACTGATGTATAATTTCAGTGAATTAGTTCTTCCTTATCTGATAAACACCATCACCAGGATACTTATTTTTTACAATTCCATTAATTATTAGGTGTCATCTACCCTTTTCGTCTGTCAAACTTTCCTTTAGGTATATATTTTATGCTAAGTTAGAAACAGTTTACTTGTATAAATATTAGTAAAGGAAGGTATAATAGAACTTTCAATTCTGTAACTGGTTTTAAAGGATATTTTTAATTTATTTTTTCTTTAATATGCAAAATTTTTACAATAGATATATTTTAAAGATAATTCACATACCATAAAACTCACTCCATATTTATATTTTTAAATAAAGTGATTTTAAATGATGTAAATATTATAAGAAAACATTTTCCTTATTTTAACAAAATGAAACATTATATAAAGTTTTTCTCAGTTAATTTTTAAGTCCAATCTTGCCTGTCTCCCCAGAGTCTGGAGTAAGTAACATGATAAGTACACTTCCAGACTTTTTTTAGGCATTTACATGTGTTTTTGCACACTTTCTGGTAAAGGTGTGACCTATCAGAGAATGAGTTGTGTATCCTAGATTCTAACTCTGGACAAAGGCTGATTTCTAGAAGGGAAGATTTTTCCAGTCTTTTCCTCCCCACTATCACTTGTAAATCTTATTTTGAAGTTGAATTTTCTGTACAATGAAGAAATATTTTTGTTTACTTAAACTTAACCTTACACTTTAGATATAAAACATAGTGGCCAATGATCTGTGTATCTGATATTTTACAAATGCATGGCTTTCCTTTTACTATCAAATACTAATTATCTCATGTCTTGACAGAGAATTATGATTAGTCATCAACTCACCAGTAGTAGTTAACATAAATCCAAGAAGGTGGGAGCTCTATTTCTTTGGTAGACTCTATTTCCAAGGCACCAAGAAGAGAGTTTCTGACCTTCTGTAAGTGCCTACAAAGGAATGAAAGAGTGACTTCCAGAACTATAAGGGGATGACCGCTGGAACCATATAGCTTCAGATATTGAATGGCAGTAAACACATACTGCCAGTTGAACATTTTAAATAATTTTTATAGATGAAGAAAATATCTTTTGCAATTGTTTTTATTCCCCTCTCATTTCAAATGTGAATGTATATGTTAATGTTTTTCTTACATTATGTTCAAGCTAATAATATTTATAGCCAATTAATTCATTGGCAACTTTGCTATCTTTTTTATGTTACATTGACCCACATTTATTTCAGTTAAGATGATGAAGACGTACCAATACGTCTCAAGATATGTTTTGAAGTTTGAATATAGCATCTGTAACTTCAAATCCTATGATTCTTCCTTTAAAATATATTCAAATGCCAACAATTTCTCACTAAGTCCACTGTTAGAAGAAAAGCTGAAGAAGAATCTCTTACTCAGATTCTCATAAGTTTCCTAACTGACCCACCTTTACACCACAACTGCCAATAACCACCCATAATCAATCTCTCTCTCTCTCTCTCTCTCTCTCTCTCTCACACACACACACACACACACACACACACACACACACTCTCACTCTCTCTCTCTCACACACACACACAGAGTTATACTCCGTATAGGAAACATTGTGTTTCTTTTATAATTTCAGTTAAATTGCATTTCTTCCTTGCAGCCCATTTCAATCAAAAAGAAGTCTTTCAGTGAGTAAGGAAAATATCCCTCTCCTCCATTGACTTCTTCAAGGCTGACTGAATAATCCAACAAATATCAAACAGATTAGCATGACAAAAGTAAATTTAATTATGGGCATACAGGGAATGAAATGGACTTGTTTATTCCAAAGATATGGAAGCAAAATGGACAATGAAACCAAGGAATGAAATAGGTGCCTG